GAGAAGAGAAGAGAAGAGAAGAGAAGAGAAGAGAAGAGAAGAGAAGAGAAGAGAAGCAAGGAGTAGAATGTGTATCCTATTTTACATTCATTGTTAGTCTTCTAGGGGAACACGAGCTCTGTTTGCTGGTCAAATCAAATAAAAATACAACACTATGAGAGATTAAGAAACAGCAGACAGATATTCAGTTCACTTCTACATAATCTTCCAGCGAGGAAACATCCTAGATTTCTTGCTACTATACCTCAACAAGTGGTATTAAGTGTCATGCCACTTCAACTCCCGTAGGAAGCATTGAATTATTGAGACTAGAAACCAACAAGAGTTTTATTTTCCTGGAATTTGACTATTTCCCTTTCAGAGCCATCTAAATCAGTGTTTTTCAAACTTGGCAAGATGTGTGGACTTTAACGCTCTTTTAGTTTTTTCCCATGACAACAATCCTGCGAGGTAGGTTGGGCTGAGAGAGAGAGAGAGAGAGAGGGAGAGAGCAACTCACCTCAAATCACAGGTGACCTTCACTCCAGACAAGTCACAACTTGTGTGTCTTTAAACACCTTAAGTACTACCCAGATTGACTTTAAGTGGGTTGTTGTAAACCACTCATAGCCACTCAGTTCTTTTCTCCCTGTGCAATATACCTTTTCCGTTTCATTTCTTTTGTGCCTTCAAGTCAGTGTTTACTCCTGGCGAGGTTTTCCGGAAGTGGTTTGCCCTTGGCTACTTCTTTCTAGGGCTGAGAGAGAGGGACTGGCCCAAGATCACCCAGCTGGCTTCCTGCCTAAGGTGGGACTCAAGCTCCCAGTCTCCCAGTTTCTAGCCTGATGCCTTAACCACTACGCCAAGCTGGCTCTCCGCAATAGACCTATAGTGACCATTTGTCCTTTATTACAAAGGACAGTCTTTTATTTCAGAAAACTGTCCTTTAAATTTATTTATTTTTCAAAAACTCATTTTTGTCCCTTATTTGGGTCATTTAACTTTTACCATATAAATGGTACCAATTAACGCAAAGTCGGATTGTAGAAATCCTTTTTAATACTTGCTTCTTATAACTTCATAGCTTTTTATGCTTTTTAGATCTTTTATTAGAATATCCATTTTTGTAAAGTGTTTCTTGGTTTTGCTCTTGAATTTTCCTTTGTAAAGCAAAGTTATAAACATAAACATTTAATTTTTTTTATCCTTATGGATCTCTTTCAGATTTGGCCCTTTTCAAGTTTGTCCTTTATTTTTTCCAAGAAAATATGGTCACCATCAATATACCCTTGAGATTTCCAGCAGTAGCTTTCTTCCTTGCTGTGCAGGAAAACTTTGAGAGGCTATTAACTCATTCATTCATTCATGTCATGTCATTAGCTCCCACCTTTCTTTCAGGATAGCACAGGGTACACGGTTCTCCCGTCTCATTTTCCCCTGTGCACAGCAACCCTGCAAGGTAGGCCAGGCCAAAGAAGAGCACCTGACCCTAAGTGCCCCAGTAAGCTTCATGCTTGAGCTGGGACTGAAATGAGCCTGCATTGCTGAGTTTGAGAAAGCAGAAAACTGTCTTTGCTTCCCGTCGCTTTGGGGAAGAGAAGGGAGAAAATTTGAATCATTACAAAACAAACATCCTGAGGGTGTCCGGACCAGCTGCCCAGATCTTAGCATTATTTGGACGAGAATCCATTCAGCAGCAGATTTTGGGAGAAAAGAATTTTGCCAGGCTTTGAGCGCCAGGGGGAAAATGCTCCCGCGACAAACATGGCTGCCTAAGCTTCACCTCCCTATCAAACATGGCTGCTCCCAACACTTCCTGCCAGAGTCCCCGAAGACGTCAAAGTAGGGGCACGAAACGGAAGTGTGCCTCCCTTATTTCCATTCCCCCAGTCAGCACTTCCGGTTCCTTGCCCCATTCTCCCCTTGGTTGCTATAGATGCTGCCGGGTACGCCGGGGCCATGTCTGACACTTGGAGCTCGATCCAGGCTCACAAGAAGCAGCTGGACTCGCTGCGGGAGCGGCTGCAGCGGAGGCGCAAGCAGGAGCCTCTGGGTGAGGAAGAGGAGGGCCGCATGGGGGCTTCGGGAGAGAGCGGGAAGCCCAAGAACATCCAACAGGGCCAAGGGGTGAGCTGGGCTGTCTCACGTCCCAATTGGCCCCTCTGGCCTAGTGCCCAGTTTACAACAGGGGGCAGCCCAGATGCTTAAAAGCAAAGCCTGCAGGTTTGAGCCTCCCTGCCAAGCCACGTCACAGCAATGGCAAAAGGGTATATTTTGAAGCGAAAGAGCTCAGGGTGGACGCTGCCCGCTGAAAAGCCATCCTTAGGCATGCCTCCAGGAGGCAGAGGGAGGGATGGGAGCAAGACAAAGGATACACACGTCCTGCTTCGCTAGGGTTTACATTCAAAGGAGCTTGTTCAGCAGGGGTGAAACCCTCATCTGGAACTGGAGCCCTTATGCCGTTCAGTGTAGGGAGACCAGTTGCATCCTGACATGATTGGAACCTCCACTTACAGCAGCAGTGTATCTCCATAAGTGCCAGAAGACTGAGGCCTCTGAGTTGCTATTGCGGTTGTTGGGAGCAGGATACTTGTTTAGGCAGACCCTGAGTCCGATCCTGTGAACTGCTGCTTGTTGGACTGTGGACAGACACTGAGGGAAGATGGCGTAGAGGTCTTCCAAAGGTGGAGAAGAAAAAGGGATAGATTGCAATGCATATGTTTTTTCTTCCCCAAAGCAGACTTGATCACTGTGGGACATTTCCCCAATTTATTCCAGACCTCAGGAATCCAGACCTGGTGCTCAGCCCTCCCTTCCGTAGTGACAGCCCAGTGCCTTCCTCCATTACCCCCAGCACTGCCACAGAGCCAGGAGATTTAGTGACTGACCCTGAATTAGAGAAGAAGATCCTCCATCACCTTTCGGACCTGGGGCTGGCGCTGCCCACAGATGCTTTAACTATATGCCAAGCCATTTTCACGGTGAGCAACACGGTCACAATTATGGCTGAGGTTGTTGTCATTTGATACCTTGACCTATTCCTTTAATCAGGGAGATTCTGCTGCTTTCTTCTTAGTCTGTCCATATTTAGAGTTTTTGGGAAATGTTGGAAGTCAGACAGCATACAAATTTAATAATGAATAAAATAGAAATTGGGTACCTTTACACATCCTCTGCAGAGAGTTGTAGATATTCATGTTTGTTTGTTTATTTTTTAAAACAGAACTTCGTTGTTTTGGAAGAATAATATATTAGACAAGATTAATGCCAAGTATAGATCAATTGTGGGCAAGCTTATCTAACGCTGGGTGCACCATGCATTTTTGCAGTGGTGCAGAGCAATGGTACTGAATTCAGTACATGTGGCACTGCCTTTGTTAAAAAGTTGTTTCTGATTAGTTCAGAGGTAGGCAATGCTTCACTGCTGGATGTGTATGAATGCTGGGAATTGTAGTTCAGCAAAAACAGACTGGTGTGGCTTAAAAACATGATCATCTACCATTCTCTTCCTCCCATTGCACTCAGGGGGTGGAACTTAGAAACTAAGCTTGCTGATGGCGTGATCCCTCTGCTTTTGCAGGCTGAAGAAGCCCCTGCCAACCAACGGAGTGTGGAGAGCCTCTTACAGAAATTTGCTGCCCAGGAACTCATTGAAGTGAAGCGTGGACTCCTCCAAGATGATGGCCAGCCCATGCTGGTCACATACGCCGACCACTCCAAGCTCTCAGCCATGATGGGGGCTGTGGCTGAGAAGAAGGGCTTGGCAGAAGGAGCAAAGAGGCGAGCAGAGCAGGACGCTGGTATTTCCATCTCTACTCCAGGAGCTTCTCCCTTGACTTTGGCCAGTTCTGAGCCTCTGAAAGAGCCACCCAAGAAGTCACGCAAACAGGCTTCGGACCTTGATCTGGAGATTGAAAGCCTGCTGAGCCAGCAATCCACGAAGGAGCAGCAGAGCAAGAAGGTGAGGCACATTTGCAGTGTCAAATATCAGCATGGAAGCCTGGCCTTGTAGGTTAGGCAAGTGTTTCTCAACGTTGGCCATTTTAAGATGTGTGGACTTCAAGTCCCAGAATTCCCCAGCCATCTGAGTTGAGGTCCACACATCTTAAAATGGCCAAGGTTGAGAAACACAGGGCTAGAGCAAATGCCCATCTTCTCCCCACTGTTTCCCACAGCAGCTAGGCAGATGTGCTTTTCTTAGAACAGTGACTGATCCTCTTGCCTCAGTCATTTAATTCAGTGCATCCAGATTTGATTCCAGGACCTTTTTCCTTCACCCCTGAGTTCTGCCTCTTCCCCCTGAAGCAGAAATGGAAAACTTGTCCTCCAGATGTTGTTGAACTCTAGTTGCCATGATCCCTGTCCATTAACCAAGCTGGATGGGGATTTAGGAAATAGGAGTCTGGCCACCTTGGAAGGGACACAGCTTCTCCACTTCTGCTGTGAAAGGATCCTGGAGAGAGGATAACTCCAGTTTAAGGAATATAGGAAGCTGTTTGGAACACTTGGCATGCATGATGTAAATGCCAACACAAGAGTTGTAATGGAGATCAAGAACCTCCAAAGTTTTCAGGGTTTCCTATGGGAGCACAGCTGTCTTCCATTCCTTCTCTTTCTCAGACACACGTATAGATTTGAAGAGCTGGGATTTACATGTCAGACTAAGCCATCGTTTGTTGAACAAGCAATAAGCTAAGCCAAAACTAAGCAGCTCTCATGATGGTTTTGTGTACTGTGTGATCCAGGTCATTTCCAGGGTATCCCTGCTGTTTCTGTATTTTGTATACAGCCTCTGCATATATCCTCTCCAAAATAACTAATCAAAGCATCTAGAGATCCAGAAAAGTCAGCAATATGGATGGGGGCTCCCCGCACCCTCAGAAACTGGAATCACAGGGGCTACAAACTTGGCTTTCCATTCTTTTTCAAAAGCCTAAGCCTCCTTTGGTTTCTTCTGTTCCCCCAACATGGACTTTGCCTCCTGGCCTTTCTAGGTGAGTCAAGAAATTCTGGAGCTGCTGAACACAACAACGGCCAAGGAACAGTCTATCGTGGAAAAGTTTCGTTCGCGGGGCCGGGCCCAGGTCCAGGAGTTCTGCGATTATGGAACGAAGGAGGAGTGCATGAAGGCCAGTGATGCTGAGCGCCCCTGCCGAAAACTGCATTTCCGGTGAGTTTTGGGGTAGGAATGCTGGGAGGCACTCAAGGTCTGTTTGTAGTTTCTTCTTGAATTGCGGAGCGGCGAAGTGGAAACCTAGGAGTGGTTCTCCAGCAAGACAAGAGGTAGTCTGGGCCAAGCTTGGTAGACCGTCAGACTAAAGGCCTGTCTACGGCACCATGCACCCTTATTTGCAGAGATCCCTTGGTAGTGGGGACTCTAACTTTGTCCCTGTGGGAGAAATGTCTCCCTAGGGTTCTTTGGCTACTAGTATTTCCCCATGACCTCATTATTCCACCCTAACTACCTCACTGGATATAGCACACATTGGATTGGTGCTATATCTAATCAAATACTTTGCTACTGTACCCAATCACACTTATATTCTAATTTGCATAACTCTACATAAAGAGGTAGTATCCTTGCCCCTTTTAGGCTTTTGCTCCAGCTGCCTCCGGTACCATCAATAAACAAGTTGTGCTTCCATGAAAGAGGGTGTTGGATGTATTACTGAAGAACTCTAGGGAGAAATTTCTCCTACATCCTTCCTGCCATTGTCTCGATGGTTTCTTCCAAGCCCAGGGACAAAGAGTTGGGCTTGCTTCAGATAGGGACAAGGAGAAATTATTCCTTTTCCTTCCCTACAATTCTTAGGAGGATTAACAGTATTATTGGTGTTCCTCACCCAGCTGGTGGCTGATCTGCCCATGGTGGAGAGCATGCTGGCTGGGGAATTCTGGGAGTTGAAGTCCACACATCTTAAAGTTGACAAGGTTGAGAAACACTGGACTAGAGGATGAAACTGAAGGCGCATGGTCAAAATGGGCTGGAGTCTGGATGGGGAGGAAGCAGAAGGGCTTGTCTGAGGCAACGGTCCTTCTTCTCTCCCAGCCGCATCATCAACAAGCACACAGACGAGTCCCTTGGTGACTGCTCCTTTCTCAACACCTGTTTCCACATGGACACCTGCAAGTACGTGCACTATGAGATTGACGCCTGCACAGACCTGGATGCTCCCTGCGGGCGGGAACTTCATTCGGGCCAAGAGCTGGCACTGCCGCAAGCTGTGGGGAGAGATTCCAGCGTGGACCGCCTCTTCCCCCCACAGGTACACAGGGCTGGGCCAAATAATGTTGGGGTGCCTGCCAAGACCAGGCAGTGGAAAAGGCTAACTAAAGTAGAGCCGAAGATACCAGATTTACAGGTGACCATATATAATGTAGTATAGAACTTACTTTATAATAGTCTGGTTGGTTGCAAGTATACATTGAATAAATATATAGAAATAAATAGGGCATGTATAGAGTTTCTTCAACAGTGATATTGATCAATAGTCTAATTATTATGTAATTATATACATCTCTCTGTGGTCTATAGACATAAAGCTAATTTGTATATATTTGCATATATCGCCTAATCTGACAGGAATCTTTCTAGATGTTTGCCTGGTGGGAAAATAATGGATATGGATCATGGCAGTGTGTTTCTTCCTTCCAATCTATGTGCCTTATTTGGAAAGTCAAAGACAGCCTTGCTTCCCAGATATCCAACTTCTTAATCTTCACGGTACTAAGTTATAGCAGGCTGGTCTTGAGAGAGTGGCATTCCAGGGGCTGCCAGTTCATAGGGACACTGAATACAGGCCATGAGCCTTCATTCCGAGGCAACTTCTTATATTCTTGGCTTAAGATAGAGAAATGTCTTGATGAATCTTAAGGAAACTTGTGGTTGTCAACCCTTTGAGGTTGTTCAGGTTAGGAAGCCGACTGCACAAGAAGACTAGAACTATACTTTATTGAGATAGGCTACAGTAACAGAATCTTGCAAGTCTGATTGTGTTTTCCCTTCTTTGCGTCGTATACCCCCATTGAGTCACGGAGGAGCCAGTCTGAGCCTCTTCCTAATACTTTCTAGGCTCAAGGCATGCCTCTGCACATTTTGTTTCTGTAACAGTTTCTGAATAGTTTCTCCAAGGTCATCTCCATGGCTCCCTACAGTTCTACAATAGATTAGTCAAGCCTTTTAACACATTTTTAAAAAACACTTTTTCAAAAAGAAACTCTGCCATAGCTGGTTTATTTTGGCCTGTACATGGGAACCTTGATAGCTTTTGACCAGATCCCATCTGTATTTAATGCTTTGGGACAGGATCCCTGATTGGTAATCATCCAGCTATGCACCCTTTGAGGTCCCATTGTTTTGCAACTGATTCTGGTTATTTAAAAAAAGGGTCTCATGGACCTTGCTCTGCTCTGCAGATATTCTAATAGCGGGGTTAGCCAACCTGATGTATGAATGGCACGAATAACAGCTCCAAAATATCCAAAGGACATCAAAATCTGTTTGTGCTGCTTAACACGCCCCGGCTTGTCTTCTCTGTGTGTCGGCAGTGGATCTGTTGCGACATTCGCTACCTTGATGTGAGCATCTTGGGCAAGTTCGCTGTGGTGATGGCTGACCCACCCTGGGACATCCACATGGAACTTCCCTATGGGACACTCACAGATGACGAGATGAGGCGTCTCAACATCCCTGTGCTGCAAGACGAGGGGTTTCTCTTTCTCTGGGTCACGGGCCGGTATGTGATGTCACAGGGAATCCAGGCCCACTGACAAAAGAGGTTTTGGGAAGGACCTAGACCAGTCTTGACTCAGCATTAACTCAGCAAGTGGCGGCTCCTGGCTGACCTTGGTTGAGCTGGGAAATACAGTCAGGGTGGGAAACTGCCAGGGAATCCCATCTGAGATCTGTAGGCTGGACTCCAGGGTTAAAAAAAGACATCTCAGAAGATAGTAGCAAAACATTTTCCCTAACGCTGCCAACAGAATTGCGCAGACATAGCCATGAAGTCACTGGGGGTCAATCTTGGTTCAGGAGTTTTTAGAGTGACCCAGCTAGATAGCAGCACATGATCAACTTTGGCTCATTTTGGAAAAAGCTAAGCAAGGCCAGACCTGGTTAGTACTTGCATGGAGGCCACTCAGAACCCTTAGAGCTGAGGGCTAGGCCAGGAAATTGAAAAAACGTATTGCAGGAGAAGGCAGGGGCCAACCACTTCTGCACAGTTGCCCCCAAGAAAATACCCCCAAGTATGCATGAAATCCCCAAGTCAAGCTTGACTTACGGATGTCCATGCTTAATTTTCTCTCATCCTCGTGGCCCTCCAAATGTTTGGGAATTGGAACTCTTCCAATTCAAAGCTAGGGTGGCTGATTGACAGTGGAGTCTCATCTATGGTCTTCTTAGCCTGTATTCTAGGAGCATGAACATGGTGCAGCCCTTAGCATTGGACTCACTGACCTAGAATAATTCAGACCAGATTGATCTTGCTTCATCCCTTTAAACCAACCGTTTTGCTTCCGGCCTTGCCTACACACCGCCGTTTTGTATGGGCTCCCATTGTTGCAGACCTAGGCTCAGAGTGACTTTGAGGTCGGCCACCCTCCTACCTTACGAGGTTGGTGCAAGGATAAAATGATGGGGGCAGGAAGAACCTTATACACGGATATTCCCCCATGAAGAAAGGGAAAAATGCAAAGAAAGATGAAACATTGGGGATCATTAGCCCAATACGTAGCAAATTGGAATGTGATATTTGTTTGTTTGATGGAGAGAACTTTCTTTCCCACTGAATGGTCAGTGCGCCTTTAGAAGGACGAAACGTTAATTAATTAATCAATTTCCATCTTGCCTACAGAGCCATGGAATTAGGCCGCGAGTGTCTTAATCTGTGGGGGTGAGTATGGGGTGGTGGCGGTTGTTTTTCCCTTTGGTAGAAAGGGGAGCTTGTCCATCATCTCCCTTCTGCAAGTCCTCTTCTGACTCTTGGATCTGGCTCTGTTTCTGTCTCCCTTCTGGCCAATCAGGTACGAACGAGTGGATGAGATCATCTGGGTGAAAACCAACCAACTGCAGCGTATTATCCGGACAGGACGGACAGGCCATTGGCTCAATCATGGCAAGGAGCACTGCTTGGTAAATAGGGGAGCAACTGGAGCCCCCCAGGACATCCCCAGGGAAACATGGCATGTCAAGTCCCATGCTCCAGGTCCCCTCCATTAAGCAGTGTCACCTGATGGACCTAGGGAGCCCACCTTCTCTGTCACAGCATCTGCCCTTTGGAACACCATCTCCCCCAAGATACGCCTGCCCCCAGCTCTGGCAGCATTCAAAAGAGCCCTGAAAACCTGGCTCTGTCCCCAGGCTTTGGGTTACAGGGGGTAGCAAGTCCTGCATGTCTGATTGTTTTCTAATGGTTGCTTTTCTTCTGGTGTTTAGATCTGAAGGGTTTTCTTTAGAGTTTGGGGTTTAATAGTATTTCTGATTCTTTTTATTGAACACCACCCAGGGTCATCATAAAGTTGGGCCGCCTTATACATTTCTTAAACAAAATGCAGAAATCTATCAGGCTGGGGATTTTTTTTTTTTTTTTAAACCAAGCTGCTAGTTAATTTTTGCTGATCAAAAGACATTAAGCCAAGCTGGACCTATTAGTACCTGAAAATCCTACAGCTGCAGGCTAAATTACACTGTTGAAAATGCATTCAGGGAGAAAGCAGTGGTGCAGCACTTCTGTGTGGTTGCCAAGAATACAACATGGATGCATCTGTGAAGTCAGCAGCTGCCCTTAAGGCAGTGTCTCTCAACCTCAGCAACGTCAAGATGCGTGGACTTCAACTCCCAGAATTCCCTGGCCAGCATCTTAGAGTTGTTGAGGTTGAGAAACACTGCCTTAAGTGAATCTTTCCCTTTGGCTTAAAGCACACTGGTGGTCTTCCATAACTATTCGGAACATAAATAATCTGAAATAACCTGTCCCTTTACCATATTTTCTGTGCCTGTTTTCTTGGGGGAGGGGAGGGGAGGGACTGTATTTCCAAATCATCCAAGGAAGTTAGAAAGCCTAAACCCGGATTGATACTATTTGCAGAAGTAACAATGGCACATCCTCCCAACTAAAACTTCTACACTGCTGTGTGCCATTCATTTCTGTTTTTCCTGTGTTGCTCCAAAGAGTTTTCTCTAGCTAGCCTATTTCAGTAAGAAACAAGACATACCCAGTTCTGTAAATTATCCCAGTGTGACAGGCAGGATTGAACAACTGAAATGAAGTCAATTTGTTCCAGTCGTCAGCATTGGTGCTGCTTGGGGTGATCCTGGGTTATGTCTGACTGCCTTGTCTGTTTTTGTGGACAGGTTGGGGTTAAAGGAAACCCCCAGGGCTTCAACAGAGGTCTCGACTGTGATGTCATTGTGGCAGAGGTGAGGTGACACCAGAGCGCTCTTTGATGAGGGCGGCATGGGTCCTTCATGCCTTCATGTGCGTTGCTCTCGCATGTCCTCTTTGAAACCCACTTCTTTTTGCTCTGCAGGTTCGCTCCACTAGCCACAAGCCAGATGAGATTTACGGCATGATTGAGCGGCTTTCTCCAGGGACCCGCAAGATCGAGCTCTTTGGACGACCTCACAATGTGCAACCCAACTGGTGAATAGTTTCTCCTCCCGCACTGAACCAAACGTAGCTTGAAATCTTACAGAGTAGGAAGCAAGCCATAGTTACAAGGCCAAAATTTAGAAAGACCAGGGTTGTTGTTTTTTTCTTTCTCTACCTCTTAAAAACTAGAGCAACATTCTCCCAATTGGTTCAAGAATTTAAATTAAGCTTGTTGGAGTCAGCCAATCCGCTCCTCTTCCTTTTTTTCTGGCTGTAGGCTCAAAAACCCATTTACTGCCAAGGCAGGGGTGTCCTACAGACTTATTTCAAGGTTGTGAGACTAGTAATAATCCCAAGTCAGACAAAAAGACCTTCTAAAATGGGAGTCAGGAACATCTGGCCCTTCCAGATGAGGAACCACAACTTCCAATATTCCTCATTATTGGGTGTTTGGCTGAGACTGGTCCCTACCTCCATTCCAAAGCATCCAACTTCCTCACTGGCCAGCCAGTTGCTACTATTAAGTCTGTGCAGTTCTTCCTTGATGCCAAGACACTGGTTGGTTCCACAGACCATGGCTTGCTCTGCAGGATCATCCCATCCGGGATCGACCCTCCTCCTTTCTCATGACATTTGCTCTGTTTGTCCTCTAGGATCACACTTGGCAACCAGCTGGATGGGATCCACTTGCTGGACCCTGATGTGGTGGCTCAATTCAAGCAACGTTACCCAGATGGAATTATCTCAAAGCCCAAGAACATGTAAATGCGGAAAGAGAGACTGCAGTGGACCAAGAGAAGAGAGACTGCAATGGACTCCCACTGTTTGTTTGAGGATGAAAATGGGAGGCAATGCAAGAAGAATGTATATTCTAATCTTTAGGTTTTTCTTTAATAAAATTGGTGTTTTTCTATAGCTGAAGACTATAGATTAGCAGAGACCTGCCAGAGGAAATATTTTCCTGCAGCTGTTTTCATGAGCCCAGTTTGCTCCCAGGAACCCCAAATGCAACGTGCATTTGTACCATACAGGGTGCTACTATTTCTGTGGCAGAGTTCTCCAACCTGATTCCCCCAGATGCACTGGGGCTGCATTTTCCAGGGAAGCTCCAGCTGAGAGCGGGGAGATTGATCTAACAATATTGCTGGGCAGTGTTGATGGCCAATATGGACTAACTCCTGTCAGTATTTCTCGGCTCATCTGGTAACAAAAGGAAGAGGTTTTGCCCCGATCTTGGATTGTGAGTTTAGGGGTGACAATCCTGGTGTTCCCCTTTTTAGTTCCAAGCTTGCTGAAGGGAGGAAAGGGAAATTTAGCATTAGGCCTCACCCTGAGGACCAAGGCACCTTGTTTAGGGAAGACTGCCCCAGAGCTCCCTACTGAAGGATGGGAGAGAGAGGACCATTAAGCATTCAGTGTGCAGAGGGAAGAGACAAGCACTCTAGTTGGAGCTGGAAATGGGAGTATTCCAAGCTTACCTTGGAACAGCCACTAGGTGAAGAAGCAGGCCCTGTGCTGAACAGTTCCAGAGCTAAACATGTCCCAGGCTTCTGCCCAATTTGGGGATCAGGGATTAAACTCTCCTGTGGCAGTTCCGGTGTTGGGAGGAAATCAACTGGCTGGGTTTACATGTAGCCCCAAGCTATTGTTTGTTTTTCAAGTTGTGGACTTTTCTACTGCCAATTATTACAGTCTTCTGGCCATTTACAGTATTAATAAGATGGTTTGGCTTAGCTTGGCATGATGTGTGAGCCCAGCTGCTCCCGCAAGCAAAGTAACAGGAGCCTTACCAACCCAGATTTTAGCACTGGAGGTGCAGGCTGAACAAACTGAAGTGGAGATGCTCACTGGGAATTGCACTACCAAGTCCATCGTGCTGTTTGCCGCTGCCACAGCCTCTCTTCCTGGACCAACCACCTCGACACCCACCATGGAAACAGATTCTCAGCACTTCCAGCTGAGGAATTCTGCTCACTGAACCCACCCCAAGGACTGCTATTTTCTCTGACCCTCCCCAGGAAGTACATGGCAGGTTCCAGCCAATATCCCTCTTCCAGCTTTAATTGCTCCATCAAGAGAAACATTATTAAAGAGACTGTATAGAAAAAAAGAGGGGGGAAAGGCAGTGCCACCCCACAGTTTCCTCACGCCCCGAAGGGATGCGGTTTTCTCTTGCTGGTGGTCTTCAGCTGAGAAGATATCCAGTACCTTGTTCCCACCCCCACAGTTGCATGGCGATTTTTTTTTCCTCCTTGATTTGGTTGTCGTCCTTGGGGCAAAATGTGCATGGGAACACAAAACTGTAGTTTCCTTCCCCAGCACTGTTGTAATGAACTGAGGGTTATTTCACAAAGACGACATTGTTATTGGAATTGCGGGAGGCCAGCCAAGCTAGGAACACATCCCTGGAAGTGAGAAAGAGAAGAGGGGGCATGTCAGAAACAGAAAACCAACATGCGTCAGAAATAGTGCATCTATCACAGAAATTAATTTCCAAAGCAAGGGAAAATGGAGGATGCATTTTAATTCCACAAGTTTACACAGGGACCTTACCACTCCCAATGCTCAAAATGCATATCCTAGAAATCCCAGCAAATACAGTGGTACCTCAGGTCACAAACTTAATCCTTTCCGCAACTCTGGTCGCAACCCGAATTGGTTGCGACCGGAATCAAATTTTCCCATAAGGTTCAATGTAAATAGGTTAATCCGTTCTGCA